AGGTATTCCTTGGAATACTGCACTGGTATTCCTGGGAATGCTGCACAGGTATTCCTGGGAATGCTGCGCAGGTATTCCTGGGAATACTGCACTGGGATTCCTGGGAATACTGCACCGGAATTCCTGGGAATACTGCACCGGTATTCCTGGGAATGCTGCACCGGTATTCCTGGGAATGCTGCACCGGTATTCCTGGGAATACTGCACCGGGATTCCTGGGAATACTGCACCGGGATTCCTGGGAATACTGCACCGGTATTCTTGGGAATATTGCACCAGTATTCAATGTCGCTGTCATTCCTTCCAGTCCCTGCTTCGACATTCCCCTCCCGGATCCGAAGGAACTACAGAAGAAGCAGTTCATCGTGTGTCACTCCTGCGGTGAGGCCGGACACAAGTCCACCTGGTGTCCGAAGGTGAGCATGGTGCTGCCCTCTATTGTGGCTATTCCATAATATCTTTTTGACGCAGGCCCAAATTTTGTCGGCAAATAATAAAAAAAACAAAAACATTTTTAATATAAAAAATATATAAAAATCAATGGTAAACCAAAAATCAATTTAAAAAATGCAAATAAAAAATGTAAATAAATCTGCCGCTTGTGTTTGCAGGCGACAGCGGCGGCGACGGCGGGAGCAGACGCCAGCGGCCAGATGAAGCCTGGCGGTCCGGGCAACGCCGTCATGACCGCAGCCGATCAGCCGCGGCCCCCGGCCGGATACCAACCCGGCGCGTTTCGGTGCGTCGCTCGCGCGTGCGTAGCCCGCCAGGTGGCAGCAGCTGCTGTGGGTGGTCGGCAGGGGGGGTTCGTTTGTTTTCGCAGGGCTCGCATTCGGAGTTTCGTTGGTGTATGAGCATTTGTGTTTAGACGTGAAGATTGCGTAGATTTCGTTCAGATAATCTCTTGTTTGCGGAAGTTGTTCATACTGTTCGCACAAGCTGATGTTATGTGCGCGCGTGCATGTGTGTGTGCGTGTGTGTACGCGCATCTGTGTGCGTGCGTCAGTGCGTGCGCGTGCGTCAGTGCGTGCGCGTACGTCAGTGCGTGCGCGTGTGTGTGTGAGCGTATGTGCGTGCATGTGTGAGCGTGCGTGTGAGCGTGTGCGTGTGTGCGCATGTACTCTGCTTTTCCGATGTCGCTCACTGGGCGTCGCTACATGTTTTGGCGTTGTTCGGTCGACAGGTTCCACCAGCCGCGAGGGTTCGGCATGCGGCACATGCGGCCGCGGTTCCCGAAGATCTACCGGAACCTCGAGGAGGTCACCTGCTACAAGGTACGCCCTCCCTCGCCACCGCCGCTTTTTCTCGCCGCACTCTTGTTCTCGTCCCCCCGCCGCGTCCAGGTGAATAGGTTTGACCTCGTCTAGAGTGATGTTGACCTTACCCAGAGTAACCTTGACCTCGCCCAGTCTGACCTTGACCTCGCCCAGTCTGACCTTAACCTCGCCTGCAGTTGACCGTGACCTCAAGGTCGATTTCATTTTGTTGTGAGATGCGTGTGCAATCGGTAGGCCTATTGGACGTATTCGATGTTGACAATGATGATGAGGACGGCGACGGCAATGATGATGATGATGATGATGATGATGATGATGATGGCAATGATGATAACGATGGCAATGATGATGATGATGATGATGATGATGATGAT